GTTCTTTGGAATTTTCCCACACTGTGTAAAATGACAAAGAGCACTCTGATTGGTTAGATTCCAAGCCCACCAATCAGAGTGCTCTTTGAGCTGGGGTTTTTTATTTTAAGTTCGATGGGTATGATGGTTTTTTATTTGGCCTTTTTGGGGGCTGAAAAATGAAGATTTTAGAAAAAAGAAGATGTCAAATGGTAAGTTTAATTTTTCTTTACAGGTTAATTATTTTATTCCCCCCTCACTATTTCTTTAGGGCATCTAGGGGGTTACGTTTTTTTGGGGTGTGTGACTAGGGGCTTGGGGACCCCTAGTCACCTTTGATGGGGGGGGGGCGGGGGAATTTGTCTTAGGGCCCCCAACCACCACCCAGGTGTGGGGGCAGGACAGTAGGTCCCCCCTCATTATCTTTATGGCCCACACCCACCGCTCAAGGGTGGGGGCTGGGAGGGTAGGACAGTAGGTTCCCCCCCCCATTGTAATTGCTCTGACCAGCGGAAATAAAGCACACTTTGCTCCTCCGCTGGTCAAGCATAGGAAACCTCCATAGGGCAAAGAGTCCCTACTTTGTCTTATGATTTTAAAGAAAACTAAAGAAGACAGGAAGAAAAGAAGAACAAATCCCGAGAGAGGGGGAGAAGAGGAAGAGATCGAGGAAAGGTAAGATCGGCATGACAGTGCCGCTTTAAGGGCAGGGGGAATCTCCCCGGACCATGGCCACCACTAAGCATCACAGCCCCTATGGAACCATCACCAGGCCACCTTCCGTCGCTGCCAACTGGCCAATCCCACAACAGGGCAGCACTTATCTCTTCTCCACATCTTTTGTCAAGCACAGACAGTTTTTTACCCCATATTTTTGGGGTACAAAACGACACCCTGTATTCCGAAAAACAGGCCTGTGTGACCCAGGACGCACCTCTAGTGGCCATCTAAAATGTGTCTGGTATATAGCAGAAAGGGTACCAAATTCAAATCTAGGTCTAAAACGGTGTGATCTGATATACTGAGGGGTAGTAGATGTGGAAATATTAGGATTAGGCAATTTGGGAACAGGTGTCGCAATGGTTGTATTTCTTGCTAAAACTAGGCAAGAAGCCAGAAAAAGGAAAGACATTCTTAGGGCAGCAACATGTATTATCAAACCTTTGATCTAAGTTTAACATGAAAAGAGCATAGTCTTAAAACATGCAAAGGTCTTTCATTGCTTTATAAAACCTATTTGTGTAGCCATCTGGGCCTGGGACCGTCTTTACTTTGAGTTTACCTATAGCTTTTTCAACCTCCTCCTCCAAAATAGGTGGATTTATTTGTTCTAGTTGATCTGGTTGTATTTTTGGGATATGCAGATCCTTAAGGAATCTCTCGGTCTCATTTGAGTCCCCAAATGTCTCTTTTGGTAAACTATACAACTCTTGATAGAATCTTTCAAATGCTGCTCCAATTTTCTCCGGAACCATCACATAAGAGTCCTTCTCTTTTATTTTATAGAGTACCCGCTTGTTTCTTTCCTTCTTCAACCTATTAGTCATCATAGCTTCTGGTTTGTTACCTTTTAGATACCAATAGACTTGAAGAGCTTCTAGTTGTTTCGCTGCTTTATCCGCTAATTGCTCATTGATCTGGGATTCTATTTTGTTTATCTTGCGAGCCCCTTGTGTAGACGGGCTTATTTTATTTTGATCTTTATGTTCATTTAGTGTGATTTATAACTTAGATAAAGATCGTCGTTTTTTTCTTATTTACAATTGATGCCAGCTTAATTAAGTGCCCTCTCATTACACATTTGTGTGTGCACCAAACTGTGGTCTCTGGTATACCTTTATCTTTATTTTCATCAAAGAAACATTTTGTGGTATTTTCCATCCACATTGCTGCTCTTATATAGTAGGAAGTCTTGCATCTACCAATCCTTGCGGAATTTATTTAAACTATCCTTATACTCTAACATAATGGGACTGTGGTCCGACCACGTTATCTCTTTTGTATTAATTTTTTTGACAATGTAGAGCATAGTAATATCTCCCACCACGTAGTCTATTCTTACACATGAGTTATGTGTTTTCGAAAAGCATGTGTAATCCAATTCTATAGGATGAAATGTTCTCCACATATCTCTTAAATTATATTTGTTAATTAGATTTTGCAGTTTATTATAATTTTTTTATTATTTATTTTTGTTCGTTTCCTGAGTTTTTCTATCTTTTAATGAGTCCGCTACACAGTTGAAGTCTCCCATTATTTGGACCAGTCCTTGTCGGATCTGGTCGACTTTCTCAAAAATTTTGGAGATAAATTTAATTGGAGCCTTATTAGGGGCATATATATTAACCAATGTAAAAATGTATTATTAATTTCACATATCAAGATGATAAAGCGCCCTGCTTGATCTAAATCTTGAAATTTGATAGTTAAAGAGATATTATTTGCAAACAGAAATGCCACTCCTCTTTTTTTCCCCTTTCCAATGCAGCACTTCTTATTGTAGGGAATCTGGAGAAGTATATTGTTTTTTCAATAGACTTTGTCCAGTGGGTTTCTTGGATTGTGCAAATTTGTACCCAATGTTTTGTCAAATAGTCTGAAATGATTAATCTTTTGTTTGGTGTATTTATCCCCCGGGCATTTATTGAGATCAACTTAATTTATGATAATCATTTATTTTTTTTAGGCTCTCTGTCTTTTAAGTTAAGCTGAATTTTATTTAAACCAAGGGACTTTATACTTTTCTTGTTGACAAACAAAGAAGACTGGTTGATCCATTGTATAGGTATCAACCTGAAACTAGAGAAAGGGTCGATCCCACCATCCCGTATCTTGGGTGAATATCACCATCCCAAAGATAAAAAATCCAACATCCTGTGGGAAATGCGGTCAAGAAGTGAGCAACCTATGGCACGTGTGTTTGGAGTATCTGTTTTTTGGCGAAGGGGGTGGGGCAGCTGCCTGCAGTATAACTGAACAATCTGTACAGAATTAGAACCAAAAGTGAGAGGTAGGAAAATCTCGCGGGGTCATTATCTATCTGGTCTGCTACTGTATTAATATATTATTTATCTCGCCATTGTCTTTTTGTGATTTTGTCCCCCCCCCCTTTTCTTTCTCTTTCTTTCTCCTTCACCTTGTCTACTTGCATCCCATTCGTGCTCCTTATATGTATTTCTTTCTTACACAGCTGAGCGATTGTCCCCCTAATCCTTATGTGTTTGTTACTGTTGTGGTGTGACCTAAATATGAATATTAATCTCTTAATACATAATAATTAAGCAATACGGAACAACATTAATATTTTTATAATTCATGGTATTATGGTCGAATATGTGGATAGAAAATACACAAAACGTTGTAATATTAAATGTATATTTAATATAACTATAACAAATAAACAGATGCTAGCAGAATGTCAATTTACTACAATTATGATACAATACAAAACTACAACATAATACTTACAAAAGGTTGCTACATGTTACACAAAAGGCTATTACAATTGCTACAATGGATTCATTTTACTTACAAGGCCCCAGCCCTTTGGCTGGGGTTAAGTCAGAGCTGGTACTACATCTTAGGTTCAGTCAGTTACAGGCAAAGGGACAGAGTTTTCTCCTCCATCTGGTTTTATTCAGTGTAAGTAGGCTGGCCTGTGATGTCACTGCCAGAAGCACATGTCTTCCTACACACTCCCCCTAGTGGTGCCCCCAAAGCATTACACTAAATATGCTTTCTTTATGATGTAAAGTCATTAATTAATAAATACCATTACAAACCACCCTTTGACTTATGTCATAAAACAAGCATTTATAAAACCAGTACATTTTGAATCTTCCCCATTTTAACACTACCTGCCCTACAACAAAACCCACCTTTTGAAGAACGATACCCATTTACCCATTAATTATTACCCATTAACATTTTATTGCTTATATAAATGTTCACCATTGAGCACATGCATTACCAGTTGGGAAGTAGGCACATACCCACCCTTATAATAATGAACAACTCAAACCATGTTTTATTAGATTAACCAATGATATTGTGTTCATGTGAGGATATGTTTTGGAGCTTAATATAGTATTAGACACCACAAACTCATAACACCTATGAATCATGGCACAGACCGACTCGATTTCTGTAGCCTCTGGCTGGTCTGTGTGCCTGGAATTTTCACAAACATTAGTCCTGGAAACTGGATACTCTATTCTTCGACAGTCTCATAGAACATACGCATGGAGACAGGGATGAATGAAACAGTTCATGTGATCAAGGACTTTTGTGTGTTTGTGGTCACATTGTTTTGTTTTTTCTTTCTTTATACCATTAACCACCTTGACGTAACAGTTTCCTGCTCCTGATGCATTTTGTTCCGACTCTCACCACTCTTAGCTGCAATATTTTTTCTCCTTACAGCAACAGTTGAGCATAGTGTCCAGTGCTTCTTCTTCTTCTGCTTAAAATATCCTTGCTTGAAAGTTCTTGAATGAAAACACAGGCAATGACGAACACAAACATAAATAATAACTGTGCCAATCATCACAAGTACCATTTGATTGTGGTGTCTTAACCATATTTTTTTCCTATGGCGTTTGGATAAATACCTACACACCTCTCTTCACATCCAGCACACTCCTGATTCACAGATAAACACAATATCACTGCTGTATCTGCCAATTTAACCCAAACACTCGTTATTACTGTTGCATTTACCAATTTAATCTAAACACTCGTTATTACTGCTGTATTTAACCAATTTAATCTAAACATTCGTTATCATTGCTGTATTTAACCAATTTAATCTAAACATTAACCAAAACAATTACATTCCTATTTACCACCCTTCTATTTAAACATGTATAGATAACCCAAAATGCCTACTTTCTCTTATCCCTCTTATTTTTTTTTTGTTGTTGTTTTTTGAACTGCACCCACTCATGCACTTTACACAGACACAAATCAAGCACCTACTGGACAATGGGGTTCCCTCGTTAGAGCCCTCCCACCCCAGTTTGGTTTACACAAAAATACCCCCTGGTCCCTATGGGTCAATTCCCCCCTTTCCCAGGCAAGCATACATACATACATACATACATACAACAATAATAATACATAAGGGTTTCAATTGCAATACAATCACTAGAAATAAGAGAACAGTATGCACAAAATCATAGCATAGACATGTTAAATAGACAATAAAATAAAACATTCAATAGCTCATCAAAGGTCAACATTTAAACACTGGTCTCCATTTGATATTCTATCTGTGTTCCAATGTCCACCCCTGGTTTCTGCTATATCTGAAAAAGGTAAGAAAACAGATCAGGATTACTTTTCCTTGTCACTTATAGCGTATACTGCCAAATCCTTTACTTAGCATATATACATATATACACATATAAATACATTCCCTAAACTTTTCATTTTATAAACAATTTGTTCAACAAGGTAACTTTCTTAATTTTCTACTTGGCTCTTAAAATAAACAATCAGCTAATAGCTGCTTTCTGCATCTTCTCTGCAATTCAGGAAACACATTTCTAGCCAACCTAAACATGTTTAATAACTCTCCACCCTTTGGTTAAATTATAGAGGAGTGAACCACACCACCTCTTCCGCCTCTGAAAGGATATAGGTCAATATGTCTCAAAGTTCAACACTTCTGACAGCTATGAGTGACTCCCTATTAATTTCTAGCCTTTCCACGGACATGCTTGCACCTCGCGGCTAAGGGCCTGCACAACTAACCACCCTGTGATGGCAGTGGCTTTCCGCATGGGGGTGACCGCCCCCGCAAAATTATAGAGGAGCAAACATACAGCAGCCTCTTTTCCGGCTCGATTAAAGGTTCTGGGCCAATATGTCTGCAATTTAACCAGTACACTCACGTATCACTTATTGTATATTTCCTGGTCTCTCAGGAATTTCTATTAAATAGCGTATCCCCTTCCCAGGGCAATATACAACAAAAACTAGTCACCAAGGGTCTCTATGGTCATGATAGGCCACCCTACCACTAGTGTAATACGCCCTTTTTTTAAATATATTTCCTGGTCTCTCAGAGATTTTGCCTATCCCTTTCCCAGAGCAATATATATAAACAATTACAAATAAGTTACAAAACGCTACTTATAAGTAATACAGGGTTTCAAATAATAATACAGGATAGAACTGCACAACAACTGTTGGGTATGCTCCCCCTTATCCGGACACGTTTAAATACCCCCTAGCTCAGGTTCCCCACCCGCTACTGTAACTAAAATCACAGCCCACGTTATGGAGGTTCACCCGCTAGGCAGATACACCCTAATTCAAAGCATGGAAATATTAAAATCAGTTATAGATGGCTTCTAAAATAATATAAATCTTAATCTGAGCCCCTACACTTACTTTGTTAAAAATGCTAACTTGTTAAAATATTCAGACTAAATAGGACAAAGGAATTATTTTACCATTTTTTCAGTTCATTTGTTACCAGTTCCTGCATATGTCCAGTAATTCCTTAGTCCTGGATAATAAAGCTGAAAAACACTCCACAAATTGATTAGCTTAGGCAATTACATTTACAAAACAATGCAGTTTATTTTTTCTCATACAGGCAAGACTACCCACCCCCAACAAGGACAAATTCTCCCCCAGCTGTAGCTGAAAAGCATGGTCACACAGCTGTTAAAAAGGTGGTCTCTCCTTCATGAGTCAAAATCATATATATTTATACTAATATTCTGTGTATACGCACACATAAATCTATTATTCACTGAATCTGCTTTACTAAACGTATCTTTTTCTTAACTACTAATTTAATACATTTTGTCCAAATCTCTTTTCAACTAGACAAATCCATGAATGCCAAACAAATGTAAATTAGTACACAAACAGGGTCAAATTTAGCAATAAAACCTGGTGAACTAGTTTAGTGAAAAGTCTTTTCCTATGCAAATGGTAGCAAACAATGAAACTAGGCCTCAACTCATTCACACCATGTGGTCAATGGTGGATTAAAATCCACATGGTCAGACAAAAAGTAAAATTGTTTTTTGTTTTATATATAAAAATGACCAAAGGTTGGTAAAACGTAACAAGCAACACAATAATTCATCACTATGTTCTACAACAAGAGATACCTTAAAAAACAAATATCTAATCCCTATCTGCTATCTGCATTCATTCCATTAAAACCAAATCATCATTCATTTATTCATTTGTATACAGACAGACAATTTACAGTATGATTTAAGCAAAATGCATAACATTTATATTTTCCCCAATATTCAAGCATAATCCTGCCGACTACGCCAAATGTTGTGGTGTGACCTAAATATGAATATTAATCTCTTAATACATAATAATTAAGCAATACGGAACAACATTAATATTTTTATAATTCATGGTATTATGGTCGAATATGTGGATAGAAAATACACAAAACGTTGTAATATTAAATGTATATTTAATATAACTATAACAAATAAACAGATGCTAGCAGAATGTCAATTTACTACAATTATGATACAATACAAAACTACAACATAATACTTACAAAAGGTTGCTACATGTTACACAAAAGGCTATTACAATTGCTACAATGGATTCATTTTACTTACAAGGCCCCAGCCCTTTGGCTGGGGTTAAGTCAGAGCTGGTACTACATCTTAGGTTCAGTCAGTTACAGGCAAAGGGACAGAGTTTTCTCCTCCATCTGGTTTTATTCAGTGTAAGTAGGCTGGCCTGTGATGTCACTGCCAGAAGCACATGTCTTCCTACACACTCCCCCTAGTGGTGCCCCCAAAGCATTACACTAAATATGCTTTCTTTATGATGTAAAGTCATTAATTAATAAATACCATTACAGTTACTATTACAAATTTAGTCACACCCTGTGTTAAATTTAATATTTTAACTATTTCCCACCTTGTCTCTTTACCATCTTCTTTTCTCCATCCCTTTTTTGTAGGATATGTGAGTATATTTATTTTCTTTTATTTAAAGTGCTTATGTGAGTGTATTCAATCTCTTTATTTCCCCCCTTATATTTTTATTTCTTGTCAATCAGTATATCAATAGGTGAGAATAACCTAAATTTATGTGTTTTAAAGTGCCTAATATTTCCTTTCACTTGAGTATATCCATGTGTATATCTCGTGCTCTTCAGAAGAAAAAAAAAAAAAAGGGCGAGACCTTATCTAGTCCATACCGTTTCTCTCATTCTTAAGACTCCCCGTTAGTTCCCTCCCCTCCTGGTCCCCACCTGCACGCAGAGCCCCTATTCCTTTCCCCTTTACCCACCGCTTGCTTCCAGCTTGTATATTTTCCTGTTTATTGGCCGGGACAATTTCCAATTTCTCTATACATTTTTAAAAGTTCCTCTACGTGGTTTCAATGTATGAGTTTCCCCTCTGACATTATGGTAATCTCCGTGAGGAAGCCCCAGCGATAATTAATATTATTTTGCCTCAGGATGAGTGTAGCTGCAGACAACGATCTCCTTTTTTGTCTTGTTACCCAAGACAGATCTTGGAATACTTTGATCCTGTCATATTTCTCTGGACATCCATTAGTCTTTATAGCCCCCAAGATTTGCATTTTTAGTTTAAAGGTGGTACAGCACAGTATCACATCCCTTGGAAGATGTTCTGGGACACCATTGGGTTCATATACCCTGTGGCATCTCTCAATCATAGGGATTTTCTGGTCCCATTCTATCTTCAGTTCTTTAAAAAAAATTCTTCTATATATACTTCCAAGTCTGTTTGCTTAACTTGTTCCGGGATGCCTCTAATTCTCAAGTTATTCCGTCTTGCACGGTCCTCCAATTCTGTCAGTTTACCCTCCAGTTCCTCTATTTATTTTTTCCTAGCACCTGCTGTTCTTTTTCATGGGTATTTCCCTTCTGTTCTAATTCCATTAGTTTTCCTTCCATTCCCAACAGCCTTTGGTTAAGTGTAGCAAGATCTATCTTGATATCTTTTGTTTGATTCTGTATTTCCTCTCTTAAGGTCTGAAATTGTCTGTCAATGTGTTTGAGGAGGTCAACATATTCACTTTTTTCTTCGATTTGTTCCCTCTCTTGGCTATCTTCCTGATATTCCTCTGTTGCTATCTTTTTTTTAGGTGTAACTGGGGAGGTGCTTAGGTTATTCGGTGACTCTATACTTGTTTTATTTGGTGTTGAGTTTGATATAAAGAATGAGTGAGGTTTTTCTGTTTTGTTTTCGACCCCTTTTTTTTCTTCATTTTTTGCATACTTTTCATTCTGTGATTTTTTTTGTGCCACTTTTTTTTGTTTTATTTTGATTACTTTTTCCCCACTTATATATCTTTTCTTTGGCCTGTTACTATTTAACTAGAAGGGGTCCCTTTTTGTTAATCAAAGTGTGCCTGAGATTGTTACAGTATTGTAATGATTTTGCTAGATTTTATACTTCCTTCCCCATCCGATGCTATACATAGAAAAAAGAAAAAAAGGGTTTCTTTTATTAAAAAACAGATTCCAAGGCAGGTAGGCCGTCAACTGACAAGCGGTTATATATTAGAAAAACTTATCTCGCTCCCGACAGCCGTCTGTCGCCTGCAACTCCGTCTCCTCCAGCCAAACTCCTCCGGCTATGAAATACCGCTATGAGGTGCCTTTGCCAGTAGCCTCTGGTTCCACTGTGTCCGTCGCTGGGGCTATCCCTTTGCTTCTTACTGTGGGGTCCCGAACAACATCACGCCGAGCATCAAAACCCCGGCTTTCCCTTAGGACACCTGGTTGCTCCTTCACCGCTCTCCACGAGGACCCAGTCCAGCGTCCTACATTATCTCGCTCCTCCCCTGGCTGCTGTCTAAAAGGAGAACTAACCACAGTCTTTAATCATATAATGAAAACAGGAGAATGCCCAAATGAGCTATTAACGGCAAATATTGTGCCCATCCCAAAAGCCGACAAGAACTTGGAGATAGTAAGCAACTACAGACCCATTTCACTGATTAATACTGATTTCACTGATTAATACTGATATCAAATTATTTCCATCTATCGTAGCCGAAAGATTGAAGCCTGTGATACCATGTCTCATCAATGAAGATCAAGTCTGATTTGTTTCGTGGAGATCCACGGTAAATAGTCTTAGAAGAATTATTAACAAAATGGAGGCAGCGGAGAGCAGTTGAACTCCTCTAACCCTGTTGTCATTAGATGCCGAAAAAGCATTTGACAGGGTTGGATGGGGCTTCATGTTCTCCGCTCTAAATCATTTT